TCCTCCCATCGTCTTCTTTGTGGCCCTCCTCTGGACTCGTTCCAACAGCTCCATGTCTTTCTTAAGTTAGCCCTAGAGCTGAATGCAGTATTCCAGGTGGGGTCTCACGAGAGCTGAGTAGAGGGGCAGAATCACCTCCCTCGACCTGCTGGCCATGCTTCTATTGATACAGCCCAGGATACAGTTGGCTTGCTGGGCTGCCAGCGCACATTGCCAGCTCGTGTTGAGCTTCTCATCAACCAACACTCCCAAGTCCTTCTCCTCAGGGCTGCTCTCAATCCATTCTCTGCCCAGCCTGTACTTGTGCTTGGAATTGCCCTGACCCATGTGCAGGATCTTGTACTTGGCCTTGTTGAACGTCATGAGGTTCGCATGGGCCCACCTCTGAAGCCTGTCTGGATGTCATCTCTTCCCTCCAGCGTGTCAACCACACCACACAGCTTCGTGTCATCAGGAAACTTGCTAACAGTGCCCTCAATCCCACTGTCCCTATTGAAGATAAAGAGATTAAACAGCACTGGACCCAATACTAACCCCTGAGGAACAGGGTCCTTCTCCTCCATGGCTCAGCTTGCATTTCATTTTTTGTAACTGAAACCACATCAAGCAATTTCTGCTCACACCATTGTATCTTTTGCCGTGGGTTAGATATGTCCTAGCTTTGTTCTCCTTTCCCATTTTGTATTAGTCATTAGCCATCAGCCGCTGTTGGAAAGCAGGTAGTGGGCTATGTGAAATTTAGCCCACTAGGGCTAAATTTAGGGGACCACACTCAAGTTCTGTTTCCTAAGTTTTCGCCCGTGCTTCTGTCCCTGCATCTCAGTGGCAGATAGCTGGACTTAACGGGTTTGAAGGTCGCTTGACACTTTGCCAGTGGCTCTCAGCTCCTCACCCTTGGTGCTTAGTGGGTTAGTGAAGAGAGGGCTGACAAGCTAATGCCTCATTTGACCACGTCTCTTGGTTGCATACCATGGTTTCGATACGGCCAATGACCTCAAAGGAGTAGTCCACACCACGGCTGGTCATTTCAATCAACACTTCATGAATAGGCTTCTTGAAGTCTTTAGGGTTGACGCAGTCGGTGGCTCCCAGTTCCTTGGCCTTGGCAAACTTGTCGCTGTTGATATCAACGGCAATGATGCGGGAAGCTCCAGCGGCCTTGCAGCCCATGACAACAGAGAGGCCAACTCCTCCGAGGCCAAAGACGGCACAGGTGGAGCCTGGTTCCACCTAGAATAACCATATAAACATGGCGTATGTTACGGTCTAGGTAAAGTACAATGCATTTTCTGATTATCCACATGTTTTCACTTAAGCCACTTCTTGTAATTTAGAGATTACTTCCTGAGAAGGAATTTACACATGCATACCTACTAGTGCAGTAGCCAGCTATACTGTTATAATCCTACGTGTGATCAAGATAAATTGTCCCTAAAATACATTTCTGAGACCTTGACCTAATTTTTATTACATATCTCAGCTTCAGGTTTAGAGACATGTTTTTTTAATGGCGCTTTATATTCCAGTGGTGGTTAAGATCTGTAGTGTCACTCGGGTGGAGACAGTGCCAGCTGTAAAAATCACATTCATGTCTTGCTACAAATCATGAGTGTTTCATATATAGGCTTCCATGTATTCCTGGACCGAAGCTACAATAAAACAGATCAGCTCTGTTATCGCATTCTTCTAGGGCTGATAAAGCTATGAGAGAAAACTCACTAGATGCTAATAGGTATTTTTACTGGATTTTGAACCGAAGACTTCTGAGTATCTTAGAGACAGAGAAACTGAAGTAGGCAAAGAACTAGTGTCTTCTTTCCACCCTGAATTCAACAGTCTACACCTCCTGGCTGCCATGCTGACAACTCGCTCGCCGGCCACACAATCCTGAACCGACTCCCTGAAATAGCACAGCGGCCCCATAACCAGTTGAAAATCCACAGCCAATTAGGCAAACTTTTTCCAGAGGAGCAGCAGGATCAATTCTGGCTACAGCATACTCATGCACTACTGTGTATTCAGTGAAGGTGCTGGTACCCACAAAATGATGAACTGCTTTTCCTTTACAGGTGAATCTAGTGGTGCCATCAGCCATTAATCCAGTGGCTGAAGCAAGGCTGTTTGGAAGATGACCAAAAATAATGGCAAGTGAAATCTGTTGAACGTGATCAGTTTTGTACAAATAAAAACCAAATAAGGGTTGTAGGTAACCTAGGAAAACTCACTCATTTTTGCTGCACAGATTACCCTTGGTGCTTAAGCAACTGCTGCACTCCCCACACTGGGGAACAAACAGTGGAATAACCTTGTCTCCTAAAAATAAACAGGGATGACAGAGGATTAAAAAAGGCAAAAAAGAAGCATGCAGGTGAAAACATGAAGCAAGCATATTTAATCCCTAGGCAAACGTGCACTAGAAGTGCAGCGCTGCTCTTATTTTGTTCTGCTGCTCTTGGAAGATAAACCATCTCTCTCTGTTATAAAGGTCATCACTAGTGCAGGGTTATGACAACTCATTTCAATATGCAAAATCCCTGGGGTCTTTCACAGAACTGAGCCTGAGCTATGTCATAAAATTGTGTTAGCTACTGACGTTCCCCAAGTACTCATGCAGCAGTTTCTTGCATCGTCGACTTGAAAGGAAAACAGTAATACATGGGTAAAGAAACTGAGATAAAAGTTGACATCCAGTAGGACAGGAGGTTGGCATGTCAAGGTAACAGGGCTGTAAACAAGAATGGGAAATGAAGCATTGATTTCCCAGCCCTCTTCCTATTTGCAGTCCTATTACTGTCGCATTGGAGTAAAGGCAGGTAAAACATTTTCCACAGAAGCAGTGATACATATAAGCTAAGACAACAACTCTCATTCTCCAGCAAAATTTCATCCACAATGGTGGCTGAAAAGCTAGATGTGAGCTGGCAGTTTGTGCTGGCAGCCCAGAAAGCCAGTCGTATCCTGGGCTGGATCCAAAGAATTGTGGCCAGCAAGTCGAGGGAGGTGATTCTGCCCCTCCACTCTGCTCTCATGAGACCCCACCTGGATGGAGTGCTGGGTTCATCTCTGGGGCATTTTAAGAAGGACATGGACCTGTTGAAGCAAGTTCAGAGGAGGGCCACAAAGATGATCTGAGGGCTGGAGCACCTCTCCTACGAAGACAGGCTGAGAGAATTGGGGTTGTTCAGCCTGGAGAAGAGAAAGCTCCAGGGACACCTTCTAGCAGTCTTCCAGTACTTAAAGGGGGCTTGTAAGAAAGATATGGACAGACTTTTTGGTAGAGTCTGTTGCGATAGGACAAGGGGTACGTAAGAAGGTAGATTTAGGCTAAATATAAGGAGTAAATTTTTACGATGAGGGTGGTGAGTCACTGGAACAGGTTGCCCAGAGAGGTGGTAGATGCCCCATCCTTGGAAACACTCAAGGTCAGGTTGGACGGAGCTCTGAACAATGTGATCTAGTTGAAGATGTCCCTGTGCACTGCAGGGAGGCTGCACTAATGGCTTTAAAAGTCCTTTCCAATGCAAACTATTCTATGATTCTATGAATTACGTGGTTAACAAAGTAACGTATAGCTTCCCAGTGCAATTTTTTACCGCTGTGCATTTTCCACAACAACAACATATGGTAAATCTCTAATAACTCCTAAACAGGCAATCTCTAATACAGATCAATTTGCGATTTGGAAGTTCTAAATATGGCTGTTCTTCGAGGAAGAAGTAAACAGCACATAGTGTGCTTTGAGGTGTCCTTGAAAACACTCAATAACGGATCATCTTCCTCTGCAATACAAATACTCACACATGTATTTAACTCAAATCTTTACAACACACACATCTTTAACTCAAACAGGAGTCTAGAGACTCAGTACAAGGTTTGTGTCCAGTGCTGTTTCATACCTGCTTTGATGGAAGTTACTCCCTCCCCAACACTCTCCACGACACCAGCTGCTTCATGCCCAAGAATTACCGGAAAACGCACAACAAATGCACCAGTCACCACATGGTCATCAGAGCGACAGATCCCTGTCGCCACAATCTGATTTAGAGGAAGGACAAGAATATTTCAGCATTTAACTGTGTCATGTCATATATAGAAGTGAAATTGTAACATACACTTGCAGATATACCTTATGTCGGTCTAGATCTAAGGAAGAAAGTTTTTACAATGAGGGTGGTGAAACACTGGAGCAGGTTGCCCAGAGAGACGGTAGATGCCTCATCCCTGGGAACACTCAGGGTCAGGTTGGACGGGGCTCTGAGCAACCTGATCTAGTTGTAGATGTAGATGCCCCTGCACACTGCAGGGGGGTTGGACTAGTTGACCTTGAAAGGTCCCTTCCAGCCCAAACTCTTCTACGATTCTGTGATACTAAGGCACTTCTCTCTCTCTAAAAATCACACATGCACACAATAAACCTGCTGGTAAAACACTTTTGGTTGTGTGTTTCATTATTTTCACGGTTTGTATTAGTCTTTACTCTGCAAAAGCAAGGCTCCTTTGTGAATGTTTGCTATGTACTACTGAGCTCTAGAGGGAGTCTTGCTGATTGTCTGGCAGAACCAATGTTCTAGCAACAAATTAGATATGAAAAACAGAATAAAAAAATGATTTCTAATATTTATATATAAATACATAAACATAAGAGATTATGATATTATAGACACATTAGAAAAAGATGTAAATAGAACTATCGCATTATAGTCTTTATAAAAATATAAATTATATGTATTTCAGCATCCTATTTATATTATATTACAACATATCATATAATAGATGTTATATAAAATATGCAGTATTATTACTATATATTACTTATATATTTAAATACAGGTATAAGTTATAAATGAAAAAATTTAGGCTATTTTATATCACATGTTGCATTTTCTTGCAGGTAGTACAGCAGTATTTCTTTTGAAACATTCAAACGTGTCCTTATAACTTTTATTCTGACAAACAGAGTTGTCAACCCCATGAGAGGGTTCTCGTCACTTGTGTAACACGTGAAACTGCTCTAAAATCAAAACAGCTACTGAATTCCACTGAGAAGTTCCCAAAATGTAACAGATACTCAATATCCAGTTAAAAAAAGGAAGCCACCGGCTCCACTGAGCTATTGGCTAGCACAGATTCAAGGAAAGGAAAAGAGAAGTTCTTTCTCCATGCTATAGCAGATTCAGATTTTTGCCTTGTGATTTTGCCTGTGCAAACCTCATGAAGTTCAACAAGGCCAAGTGCAAGGTCCTGCACATGGGTCGGGGCAATTCCAAGCACAAGTACAGGCTGGGTGGAGAATGGATTGAGGAAAAGGACTTGGGAGTGCTGGTGGATGAGAAGCTCAACATGAGCCGGCAATGTGCACTGGCAGCCCAGAAAGCCAACCGTGTCCGGGGCTGCATCAAAAGAAGTGTGGCCAGCAGGTCGAGGGAGGTGATTCTGCCCCTCTACTCTGCTCTCTCTCGCGAGACCCCACCTGGAATACTGCATTCAGGTCTGGAGTAGCCAACACAACAAGGACATGGAGCTGTTGGAGTGAGTCCAGAGAAGGGCCACAAAGAAGATGATGGGAGGGCTGGAGCACCTCTCCTGTGAAGACAGGCTGAGAGAGTTGGGGCTGTTCAGCCTGGAGAAGAGAAGGCTCCGGGGTGATCTTATCGCTGCCTTCCAGTACTTAAAGGGG